CATCGGTCCGATGCTGCGTACCGAGTTCACAGTCGATAGTGATCTTCTTAGTCTTCTTCGAGCCCAGGTCCTCTGGGGGAAGAAGAAGAGCCTTCATCACCTTGCTGGCAACACCTAAGAAACGGAGGTCCTGGAAGAACGTCCCCAGGGTGGGGATCGGAGTATCGATCTGCTTCAGTCGCTCCCATAACGCCGCCCGCGTGCCAGAGTCATCGATCGATGGAAATAACGTTCGGTCGTCCATCACCCGAGACCGCAGATATTCCCGGTCTGGTTCTGAGAGCTTCGGAACTTGAGATTCCAGCGCGAGAACGGTCTCCGCGTCCGCATGAACAGGAAGGGTGTCGCTCCCGCCGAAAATACGGTCCATCCAGACCGTGCGAATACTTTCGAGGTAGGACAGGATGGGCTAGAGATAACGGGTTCCTTAGAAGAGACTTTCAGTTCATAGACACTTGGGCCACTCACCTCGTCACATCGCAGTGACACCATGGTATGCAGCACGCCCAATTGCATTTTGGCCCAAAGCCCCGGAATAAGGAGCAGGGAATCAAATGCTGCAGGGAAGCTGGGGTGTTGGAGAAAGGCCCGGAGATATACATGCTTCTTACTCTTGGGGTCGTGTCGGAGGATGGCCCACCATACCGCCTCCGCATTTTCGTCCGGCGGGTGGCCCAGCTTCCCTTGATAGAACCGAATTCTTTCGTAGATCAACCCGTCCGGCGGTCGGCTTTGGTTTGGAAAATGCTCCCGGAGCGAGCGGACGAGATGGGAATGGAGAGTTTGTCTTTGTGGTTGCTCATCTGGCGACTTATGCTTAGCAGGTGAACGGGGAGGAGCACACACGCTGAGACTCGGAATGACTTCAGAGACAACTTACTGGGATCCTCCACATACACATCGACCACCCACCATCGGTTCTCGCCGTAGAGCTTTTTTCGCGCTGCGGCGATAACATTCCCGTGGCCTAAGGCGCGAAGCGACGTGTTCAAGGGCACGATCAGCTCGGGAAACGGCTCCGTGTCGCACGGCAATAGCCTGATGTGGGAGCCCCAGTCCGTGGCTTGGACCAAGACGGGCACATGGTACTCTCGATTGATACGGAGGCACCCTTGTATCTCGAGGATCTGCTCCAGTCGGAGGGCATTTCGGCCGTCATCCATCAAGCGGCCGAAGCCATTTTCGAACTTCAAACAATCCAGGCGGACTCGGGCGCTACCCTGGTAGCGCTCCTGGCGGTAGGCTTCCAATGCCTTCTCCGCCGATTCGATGCGAGCTTGGTGTGTTGGCCGCATGCTTGATGACGATCCTGGGAATCATGGTGACCTGGCTATTGATATATAGAGGGTAACATCGTACTGAGCGCACGCTAACGCTGAATAACTTATCTCCCCACGTTATAGTTGAGCCATGAGGCAACCAGCAGACTAGGCCCCAGAAACAAATCCACGGGCCGCACATTGTTACGGTTGAGACATGGTGACCGATGGGAAAAGAGATCAGGTAATGTCAGAATCAATGGTTAAATCGTTTTGGTTTGATGTGATGGTTAATTACGTTCTTCCAAATCGGTTTGCGAATGCATCCGTGGTGAGGCATTTGGAAAGGAGTTGAGGGGTGCAGATAAACTGGGCGGGACGGGCGAGCGAGAGATTGCTACTACCGCCATGGGTCGTTTAACGCATATCGTTGACCGGGCCCTCAACATACGATTATAATGTGCAATCAGGACTTATCCAGCGGGCAAATTCTATAATTCTAGTGATCCAGTTATTTTGTGACCAGATTGCCTGACTAACTGTACTGAAGACAGCACTAAACTGGTGCCATTATACACAAGTGCAAAAACAGTGTGTCTGGATGAAGGTTTGCAATGCAACTATACACGGTAACTTATTCAGCAAAGTAAAGTGCTAGTGAGTAAGTAACAGCTATACACTAGTGGTAAACGAAGGTAAAAACGAAAAAATAACTATGATACATCGCATGCCTCAGGCATGATGAGAATCGATAAAAGAACAGACGATTCCGTACAACAGTGTGGCACGCCAACCTACCACTCAGGCATGGTGGCAAACCAGCTCTTAATGAATTCGATGCGCTCCTCGCTAGCAGAAATAGGACCCGCACCCCAAGAGTCACCCAGCCACATAGTCTGCTTAGTCTCGGTGCTAGGCGGGAAGTGAGGGAGGCCGTCGCCGTTAGGGTTGCCGGTACGGATGAAGTTAGCCCAGTAGTTGGACATGTACTCCTCGACTTCATAGTCATAGGGGTACCAAGTAACGTTAGAGTAGTCGGAATAGGGGATGTTGTTGAAGGTGTACCAGAGTTCTGAGCCGTGGTAGGCGCCCTCGCCACGGTTCTCGGCCGGGGAGCGGGTGAAGTAGTAAGTGTAGACAGGGCTCTTGGCACCACCTTCGGCCCAGGCAAGAGCCCACTGCCAGGTACCGATGCGGCTCATGTCGCGGTAGAGGGCGTTGGAGTTGTTGTTGGCCTGGGAGGTAGAGTCGCCGGGGTAGAGCTTGAAAAACTCCTCGGAGAAATTCTGGAAAACTTCCTGGTAGAGAGTGTTGTAGGTGGAGGCAGTGAGACCTGGGTCGGGCTCAGCGCCGGACTCGTCCTTGTTGTTTCCGGTGAGAATGGGCACGTCGGCGTGGGCGTCGAGAAGGAGAGACTGGGTGTAGTCATGGGGGAAGACGTAGCCATCGATGTTGGGACGCCACATGGGGGGTTCCATGAAGAAGGCGGAGGCGTTGGCGAACTGAGTGCCCTCGAAGATAGTGTCGCTGAGGGAGTCGTATTCGAGCAGGGTCTCCATGGAGACAGTGGTGCGCAGTTCCTTGATGGAGGTGACGTTCAGCTCCTTGAGGAACTCGATACCCTGAGCTTCGGCAGCCACCTTGGTGCGGTGGCTGGTGGCAGCACTACCGGTCATGGGGTCGTGGGGACCGCGGGCACCGCTCTCAGAGATGACGCCGGCAACGAGGCCCTCGTTCAATGGGCTCCACATGCTGTCCAAGGCGCTGGCCGAGCCGGCCGATTGACCGCCAACAGTGATTTGGCTGGCATTACCGCCAAAGTTGGCGATATTCTCATGAACCCAGCGAAGGGCGGCTTGCTGGTCGAGGATACCGTAGTTACCGGAGCTGTTGTGGCCGGACTCGGCAGACAGTTCGGGGTGGGCGAGGAACCCGAAGGGGCCCAACCGGTAGTTGATGGTGACAACAATGATGTCCTTGGCGGCGAGACCGGTACCATCGTAGGTCAAGACGTCGCCTGAACCACCCTCAAAGCGACCGCCGTAGATCCAGAAGTACACCGGCAAGTTCTTGGAGGTGATATCGGAGGTGTCATTGTAGTTGGGGGTCCAGATGTTCAGGTAAAGGCAGTCCTCGCTGGTGGTATTCTTCCCGCTGCTGAAGATGCCTGCACTGCTGTAGGACTGGGCGCATTGGGGACCGAATTCCGTTGCATTCAGAACGCCAGACCAGGGCTGGGGTGACTGGGGCTCCCTCCAGCGGTTTTCACCAGTCGGGGCAGCAGCGAACGGTATACCCTTGTAGACGATGGCGGTGTCACCACCGCGGAATGGGGAGTGTGTGCCCCGCACATATCCCAGAGTGGTGTTCACGATGGGGAGGTCAGAGCCAGCTGATCTTGTCTGAATGGCTGCAGACGCAACCAGCGGCACAGCGGCTGTCACGCCGATTATAGTTGAAACAGCGCGCATGGGGAAGATCGCTGCAGCTAGATGTTGAAGAGAAAAGAATGAGTGCTGAAGGATTACTGTTATGAAAGTGTGATGGAGTGGCAAAGTAACTGGGAGAGGTTTCCTTTTTATAAAGATGGCCTTCGAGGTATACGCAAGCTCAGAAATGCAAGTCCGAGATTCTACCAGGGGAGACTGTTTGCACCGAGGGTGGTGTCGTCATCCAGCGGGGATTTAAGCCTGTTGTGATATTGCTATGCCTGTTTGATTCGGACCGAGCCATACTGTTATACCATTTTCTATCGGACCATAGTATCACGTTGCGTCCGGTATGAGGTTTCCCGGAAACTGCTTGGACAGCTGTGAGATGGACCAGAAGCCGTGGACTGGACTTATACTAGTTCTGCATGCCCAAATAAGCTTATCTTGAATTTACCCCGGTCATTTCGTGGATGAGCGCTCGCCACCTGTTCTGGAATTCTTCAAGAATCGTGCAGAATTCTGTCACACCCGCCGCCATGCCAATTAAGGACTGCGAGCTCACGGCCGAGAGACCCTGCTCCACATGCTCGGAGTCCAGAATCATCAATTTGAGGCAGATATCCACAAAAGCCGGGAGTGTCGGCGATTAATCCTCGGCTCTTAAGTTATGACCGAGATCTCGGGCCCGACCCCGAGATTGGCGGTCGATCATTCTCCAAAGTAGAGTTTTTGACCGATCAGTCGGCCCGAGTGACTTGATGCGGATGCTTCATCGTCCAAGGCACATCAGGTACCAGATGTTGGCTTTTCATTCACATAGTTATTTTGTGTTCGTGTCATGGCATTCGTTGCTATTTACAAGAGATCCTTCATTGGGTTGTGCCTCCACATGGATAGCTAATGTCGTCACTGTACTCCGACAGGTCTCGCCCCGGACAGATTGACCACGCGTCCACCTCCGGCTGTCGGAGGTGCTGCCACCGCTGGTGGCTGGACCCATCCAGGAACGTTGTCATCTTCTTGTTCCCGAGCTAGGATTGTCTGCCAGACATTGGGAAAGCCAGTCGGCACGGCACCACGGAGACGCGCGCCAGGGATCGCCAGACGAGGATTCTTATGAGTCAGGAATCCACGCATCAGACCCTGTGTGAGGAGGGACGCCAGGATGGACTCGAGCTCGCGCATCATAAGAGTAGGTTTGCCCGAGTCTTGCTCGCTGTCGGCTGGACTCGCGTACGGGTCAAGCTCATATTGCTGGTAATCCACAGAGGGCTGGCCATCAACAAGTCTGCCCGGTGGATTCAGCTGCCACTGTCCTTGCGCATCGAAATATCCGTCCGGTGCCAAATAGTCTCCGTATTTCTCAATAAGCCCTGGGCTTGCGACCGCCTCTTGTGCGTCCAGCTCGCCGAGCCCCTCGAAATCCCGATCTGTAGCTTTGTGTACGATCTGGGACCCAACCTGATTTTGGCCCGCCTGGGAATCCGGCTCGGGCTTGGAGGCGAAGATTCCAACCGAGCTTTGGGCCGAATGCGCATGCTGAGATTGAATCCACCGGACCGCTGCGTCCAGCTTGTTCAGATAGAGGTACGGTGGCGGTCCACGTTGAGAAGGGCCAAGTGAAGGATCGCCGTGGAAACCGGCATGGATGAAGACCTTTCGTGCAAGTGACCGCCAAACAAGAATCTCGCACCGATTGCGTAGGGCAAGAAGGATGCCTTTCCGAGCGAACCATTCTGTTTCGGGGGAGCCAATTGCAAGGTGCTCGCGGAACGCAATATAATCGCCCCGAGCTATCAACCGACAAATCGGAACGAATTTGTCTACTAGCCCTTCGGCCTCAGGACGTTGCAATAACTGTAATGAGGGGAAGCGCCCTAGTATGATGTTACAAGGGATGAGGTAGGTCAGGATGACTCGTTTTTGATTCGTCGCCTGGCGGTGGCATTGATCGTAAGAAGCTTGCAGGGCGACCTGGGCGGGATAAAAGAGGTTGTTGGAGAACAGATAACGTCCGAGGTAGTATAGATAGGTGACGCGCTGCGAAGCTGGAAAATGTTTCAGAGGAGCGGATTGTGCGCTGATACTCGCAAACATTTGCTCTGCGTTTCGGAGTTTGCCGCACTGGCCTATGTTAGTCCATTGATCGCACTAGAAGAATATCCAGTCATACTTGGAAAAGCAGTTTGAGGCAAAGGTTTGCCATCAAATAGATCCCTATCCTCTTCCCTTCGGGCTTTCCGTGGATACCTGGCGTGCCACTTCTGTCCGTTAGGCACTTAATGAATGCCTCTCGAACGACATTTGCAGATTTCTCCACCAGCGTCAC